ATATATATATATATATATATATATATATATGAGAGTTGTGCTTCACACCTATGACTTTGTGTGTCTATCTTTGGACATGATATGATAAGACGATAAATATTTATATTATTTATATATGTGATGTAACATTCTGCATTGCAGTATTACAACCCTCAGCCTCAGTGATCTGACAGAATTCAACTGTTTTCATGTTTTCGTTCATCAGTGTTCCCTCACTACAATACCCAGCATCCATTATGCAAACGCATCATTCAATCATAGATACAGAACGCATTTAGGCCACGTCCACGCCGTGGGGGAGCAACTCTGTACTCTCCCCTGATTTGCACACTTCTTTTTACTGGTTTTAAACAAAAAAATGCAAATATGCCAAAAAGCTGTTGTGTGGTGGGTTGCAGGACAAATAAGATTAAAAACCTGAATTAAGGTTTTTCATGATTCCAAGATGCAAAACGGGGCCAAAAAGATGTCGTAGTTGGCTTAAAGCTGTCAACAGACAAGAGGGCTCCCTAGCCAGTTAGCCAGTTAGTTATGCTGTCTAGATTCTAGCAATGTTAGTATGCTCTAGGTTAGCTTGTTAGCTAGCTAGTATGCTCCAGGTTAGCTTGCTAGCTAGCTAACTAACAATGAGGGTAATGGTAACAGTAGCTCTAATAATATTTCACAGTACAGCTATACATGAGCATTTTGCTCTTAGATGACATTGGCAAAATGACAAGTTAATTTTTTTATTCACTTTGATACAGAACAAGGAGGATACTGACAGTAGAGCTAATATTCAGCCTAATAGACCTGAGACTTGAGCATTTTGATCACAATGTTAGCTAACACTAGCTGTCTAGATGACAATATTGACTAGCTTAGCCTACCTGGTGATTCGGTCAGGTTATATTACAAGTCAAATTAAGTGACAGCTGACTGCTCTGTGGGGTCTTTTTTCCACTCTGATTTTGGGATAGGAAAGGAACACTGAGGTCCAATCAGATTTAGTTTCTCTATATATCTGGCCCTTTCTTTGGACAGAAAGGTATGAAAATAGGTTGGTGCTGACATTTTGACATTAAAGCGTTTTCAAAACATGATGTTAGGCAATTTCCCATTCACTCTCTTTTAAACTTCGCCAAATGTTTATGCCCACAAGAGGTGTGGTTTTCCCTCTGATGTCGCAATGCGCTACGTCTCTATTGTGAATCAACCAATCTGTAGTATCAACAAATCCTGACTGCTAGCCTAGGAATTGATCAATAGGCTAATAAATACAATGAAGTTTGCATTTGTGCAACTCTTTTCTCAGTGGTTGAACACAATTGTAAAGAAAACTGTGATTATATCTTTATTCAGTGCAAAAAAGACACCAGTTTTTACCTTTTCAGCCAGAGAATAAAAACAAATCTGAGGTTAGATATTCAGAGTTTCATTTCAAATTGCTGTACATCCATTTGTAACTTTCTTAGATCTAAAAAGTTTTTGAAGAGAGCAACAGCTGGTATATAGTGGAAAATACATTTTTATTTCTCTAATAATGGTAGTAATAATCATAATATTGCACTGATACTTATCATATGTGTAAGACCCACCACCAACAATGCATCTTATCAAAAAAGAAAAAAAATGTGGTCTATTATGTGTTTTGCAGTGAATTCCTTCATATCTAGATAACCAGTTAGCTAACTTTAGCAATTAGCATGTTGTCCATTCTGTCTACTTCATTGATTTTGAAGACAGTTAACACAGTTGTATGTTAGCTATCTGCCCTCCTTCACTCTAAGATGAAAGCTAGCGAGAAATAATGGCTAAGAAAACTGAATGCTTTCTCAGTGTGGCTCTGTGTACTGCTCGCCTGCATTTTTAAAAGAGATAGAGATAGAGCAGGAGAGAAAGAGGGGAAAGAGAGAGAGAGAGCGAGAGAGAGAGAGAGAGAGAGCTCAGACAGGAATGCAATTGTTTTCAGGTCAGTGAGCTTGCGAGCTGCAAGCATAAGCAGATGAAAGAGGGTGAGAACAAAAGAGAAAGAAAGATCATGGATCATTGTGATGTATGTAATAAAGATACAGAAGAAGATATGAGAGAGAAATGCTGATAAAGACATAGATACACAATGTAAATTAATCATCAGGCTTTTAAAACAACCTTCAATCCACCTGTGAACTATGTGTCCCATTATTCTTACGTGTAAGACTGGCATCATTCTCTTGTCCAATCATCTACGTGGCAGTAGCAACTGTTAAAAATGATGGGAAGCCTCAATAAGTTTTTGCTGTTCATATTTATATAGTTGGCAGATGTGTTCAAGCAGGGGTCTCAAACTACCAACCATCTTGACAGACATAACTGCAGTGTATTCTTAATTATCCCTTGCAAACCGTTTTTAGTCTTTCTGTACCCACATATTTATATCTGTTGGGAAAATTTGCTTTACCCTTCAGATACTGTGGCTGGTCATCCAACATAAGCTATACAGAATCAGCTTAGGCTGATGCTGATGTTGTTACAAGCACAAACAGAGAAAGAGGAACCATTCAAACTATGAACACTGCACACTGAGCGTGTGGCTGTAATATAGCTTTTATTCTAGTTTATACTGATAGTTTGTTAAATCTGCCTTTGTGGATTCATTCCTGACATAGTGGCACACACATAATGTCAGAATTAAGAAATTAATATGGAATTATCAAACAATTTCACAGAGAATGCAGATTTAACTTTGTAAACTTTGCAATAACTTCACTTGAGTTCGCCGCTATCACAATAAAAGTCCCATATCATTATATTGTTAAATGTAAATTTACATGATTTAATTAAACACTATGTATTTACACCACCACCACCACCACCACCACTACTACTACTACTACTAATAATAATAATAATACTAATAATAGTAAATTCCTTCTTCTTTTCTTCTTTTTCTTCTTACTGTTACTATTCGTAGTAGTAGAAGCGGTAGTATAAGTAGGTGTGGATTGTTGTGACATACAATAATTGCTAGTAAATATTGACTAAGATGTGCTTAATATTAATTAATGTTATATATGATATGCTCATCCTACAATATGTGCACTTTACTGCAGGAGATCTCTTAACATGACGTCCTTACCACATCCACCCATCCCTCTCTCTCTCTCTCACTTACTCACTCACACAGTCATGTCACTATTTCATACAGAGCAAGAAACATCTATGTATAGAAACATTTGAACCTTCCAGGACTCCAGGAATTACAGATGATGAGTGCTTTTCTGATGCATTCATTGGACACTAGCTAGGCTTCCATGCATGTTTTTATGCCTGTTTTGCCATATCAATTAAAAAAAGTGAAACTGTGAACATTGAATAAAGCTGACAAAAAAAAAGAAATGCAATAAGTTAGGATGGAAAATTCTCTAAATGCGAATTAAATAACAGGTGCCAGTTAACTGGTAAAGAAATCAAAATTTACCTGCATATTATCAAAATAAAAAGCATAATGGTGGTATTAGATGGTAAACAGGCATAAGGAATCTATAGTTGATTAGTGGTCATTCATTCAGTCATTATGACTGCCAGAGTGCGCTGACTCTGCACTATTATGATGTAAAAAAGCCTTAAAATTAAACAAAACAGCGACAAGAAGCTGCTCAGTGTTAACGATTTCTTTGTGAACATTTTCACTCCACATTTCTCAAACATGTCTATTTAAACTAGACGTAGAGAGTTTCAGTCTGTTGTTGATGGAAACTCAGCCTTATTCACATTATTTTATTGTGACATTTCAGGTATAAATTTAACTCGATAGATGGACTGAAATCTGGCTACTGTTGGACAATTTAATGTCATGTGTCATAATTTTACATGCTAAATAACTGTGAGATCATGTGAGTCATCTTAAGACACTGCTCATCAAAACATTTGGGTGTCTTTTCAAAATTGAATTCAGTGAAGTAGGAAAGAAATACCTATGAAGATTTTATGACAGTAAACAGCTTTAAAATTAAAGTACTGATTTAAGAGTTTAACTGTTGAAAAGCACACTGAACATCTTACTGCTCCAAAGGTGGTTCACATATATGAAAAGTGCTAATGAGTGCTGACATCATAATAAGGGACATTTCGCAAAATACATGGTATTTGGCATAATTCCCAACATGGAACTGTCACAAATATTGTCAGAAATACTGTATTTACAAATTTGATATTATTCTCTGTTAGTTTTTACTATATTAAGCTATTCTAAGCCAAATAAAAAAGAAAACATGCATTTACATGTTCCTATTTACATTAGTGTTCCTAAACCTTTGACAGTGTTTATGCATACTTCTCTTAAAATGCCTGAAGCAAGCCCCCAGAATAGCATGCACCCACCACCCATGTTCATTTTGCCTGAGCCAGTGGCCTTTGTTATCCTCATAGCTCATCAATACAGCATGGAGCCATTAGATGTATCATTTCCATTTGCTTCAGTTCGCTCTGGTTACGACCTGCCTCTGGTTCATCTTGCCTATTTAAGGGATTAGGATAATGGAGGGAGAATTCCGATTCCAGCCACACTCACACGGACAAGGAGAGGAGTTATGGGCCAATCTAAGCGTGCGTACAAAGGTCATCAATAACATAGACGGCTGTTTGAGCTGGAATTAAACAAGCCTGCTTTTGTTTGAAGGGCCACTTAGCTTATGATTTAAAATTTCATAATGTGTGCTTTGCTACGTGCATCTATTTTTTACGATCTATGGAAAGTGGATAGAATGTTGCCAACAAGCTACACGCACACATGTTATAATTTTAGTGTCCAGTAAACAACAAAAACGTGCAGGGACAGAGAGAACACATGGAGGCAATAAATTTCCCAGAGATAACTATAAATCTCCCCTCCAGTAAAAATGTATATATCTATATATATTTCATGCCATATATCACATATATGATACAATGGGCAGAAATATCTCTCAAATTCGCGTCACATGTTACATTATGTTATGATCTATTAGGAAAAACTAGAGCATTGTATGCTTAATTCGCACCTTGGACAAGTCTCTGAAGTTGCCCGGCACTGTAAGGTCCAGCTCCTCTGACTCATAGTTGGTGAGGACCCAGGGGAAGACAGGATACTGGTTGAGGTCATTGTATGTCCGTCCTAGACACAAAGAGAGAGTAAAGTGAAGATCTAAGTTGGAGAAGAAGTGAAGAGAAATGTAGGTCATACACAGCTTGGAAACATCACATGTGGTGCTGAGAAAGCATAATCAATAAAAGACAAGCAAAAAAATGAAATATTAGGATCAGTGGTATAAAATGTGATGTGCTGCTCATTATTCCTTAAAGTGATAGTCTGACGAATAATCATAATTTCAACAATTTTCCCAAATTCTTTCCAAAATTTTATCCCAAATGAGCCAAGACCATGTTTGGTGCCAAAAAAAAATGTCAATAGTACCAAAAATCAGGCTTTAAACGGCCTATTTAACTCCCAGTTAAACATTTTTGTGTTTTATTTACCAATAAATGGCACATAAATTACCCTTTTAACTGACCCTTTTCCAATCTCTCTTCATCCCTTAGAATTAAACAAGCTGTTATTGTTACTGTGCCTTTAAGACTCATGTGTATGTAAATAACTTTGACTTCTGTTCTGATAGGATTCTTTGTTTTGTGTTTTATTTAAAAGGCAGTCCAAGCTGAAACACTCCTTTAATGTGAATGAGTGGGGATAAACTGCTGAATAGGCTTAATAGCTGAATAGTCTGAACAAGAAAATACATAACGTAGCACATCATAACATACATAACAAGAACACATTTAAAAAACAGGCTGTTTTGACAGCTTAGTTTCCACATATGAATCACATGGAATGGTCAGTGAATGGTACATTTTGAAACCTTAACAATATTTGCATACTGCATTAAACGCTTTATTTCAAAAAGTGAAAGAGAAATTCGGTTCTCAACGACATGGGTGCTTTAAGATGGCTGCTACTACTGTTTATAGCAGTGGTCACCAACCTTGGTCCTGGAGACCACAACTGCTCCATCCAATTAACATCTTTAGAAGTTTTTGATAGTCTAGATCAGATGCATTGGTGGAAAAGCTTTCTAGATGCAAGGAACAAAAACAGATCTCCAGGAGAAGGTTGGTGACCACTGGTTTATAGTTCCCTTGGTCCATATTAATAGACAACAGCAGGACATACAGTGGCAGAAACCACATGAATTGAGATTACTTAACAGCTCAACAGGGTTTGAGGCAATCATTTAGGCATGTAGTTTAGACTAAAAACTAGTTCAAACCTAAAGAAGCCAACTCTGGACACCAATCGTGTCTTGACTGTTTGATTACATTTCATTTCTTTTGCCAAACTACATTTCTTTTGCCAAACTATTACGATAAGGCAGGGGTCACCAACCCTCCTCCTGGAGATCTAACTTCATGCATGTTTAGTCTACCATGCAGCTCCCCTTTTACCTAATGCTAACGCAGCTGATCCAGCCCATCAAGAACTTCTGGAGAAGTTAATGAACTGGAGCGTGTCTGGCAGACTGTGGTCGGAACTAGACTGTGCAGGAAGTTAGATCTCCAGGACCAGGTTTGGTGACCACTGCGTTAAGATGCTGAAATGAATGTCAAAGTGCAAAGCTCAGTGCAGTAGCAGATATGGTTGGAACTAGGTTGAAATAAAAAAAACTGTAAATGTAAAAATGTATTTTTTCTTCAGTATTGTATCGTCGGTGCAGAAGAAGATGCAGAAAGCATTGCGTGTATGTGCAAATGCTCCTTTATTTTCAACAGGCACTTCAACAGGCAGCGGGAAGTGCCCAGCCCAGTGCTGCCCATGAAACCAGTGAGGGGGCAACATGGGAGGAGGGGGGACAAACCCACACACAAAGCCTACCCTCCACAGACACAATATATCAAACAACAACTACTACAACAGTCCGTTTTTTAGCTGAGAGCGTGGAGCGCCACTCTAGAGCCACTTTGTATGGCCACTGCCCCCTAAGCTCCTCATGCAGTCTGGAGCATGTGGCGGACGTCACAATATTTTGGTAAAGGACACTGTACATAGCAGATATATATATTTCGATCTTGAGTCAAGAAAGATGACGAAAGGAACGTCGTCTTTCGGGAAGCGACGCAATAAGACTCATACGCTGTGCTGCCGCTGCGGCTCCAAGGCATACCCCCTGCAGAAGTCCACCTGCAAGAAGTGCGGCTATCCTGCCAAGCGCAAGAGAATTAGGGGCAGCGGTGGGCTGGAGGTTAGGGAACCAGCCTTGTGACCGGAAGGTGGCTGGTTCAATCCCTTGGCCGACAGTACATGACTGAAGTGCCCTTGAGCAAGGCACCTAACCCCCAACTGCTCCCCGGGCGCCGTGAATAGGGCTGCCCACTGTTCCGGGCAAGTGTACTCACTGCCTCATAGTGTGTGTTCACTAGTGTGCATGTATGTGGGTGTTTGCATGGATGGGTTAAATTTGACTATGAGGGGAAACTTCGTAAAGTTTATTTTTTGCTTGAACTCCTCCTCATTTGTGTGGAAGTACAGAAGGAGGGCTCGGGTCTTCCTGACTCTGTGTGCCAATAGAGTGCTCAGGCAGATTTTGGTGTGGCTGTCTTTAGTGTCTCACTGCTTAATGACTGTATTATAGTGTGAGATTATGTAAAGTTCAGTGGTTTCACTATTTTAAGGTTTACAGAAGTCACACTGGTCGCTCAGTCTCAGAGTGCCAGTAATTAAAGACATGCAAATTCTTCTAGGGGCGATGACAGTGTGCCATCTCTGCTCCTCCCTCATCACCGCCAGGTCTCGCTTCTGATTGGACACATGGAGCAGTGATGTAGCCATGGAGACCTGTAAGAATCGTCTGTGATGGTGCCCATATGCAGTACAGGGAAATGCCAGATGTGGTATGTTCATCTCTCTCTCTAACTCTCCTTTTCTCTCACTTTATCTCTCTTCCTCTATTCTTTCTCTGACACGTTCTCTCCCTCTTTATCTTCCCTTTTTTCTCCCTCACTTTCTTGCTGTCTTTTGCCCTTTTACCTCTCTTGCCTTTCTCCCTCTCCCTTTCTCTCTCTCTCATCCCCTTTCTGTCTTGCTCTGTTGCTTTCTCTCTTGCTTTTTCTCTTACCCTTTCTTACTTCCCTTTCTCTCTCTGTTTATTTCTATTATCTCCCTCTTCCCTCTTTCTGTTCTGTCTTGATCTCTCTTTCTCACTCTATTTCTCTTTCTCTCCCTCTCTCTATCCTTTCATCTTGCTGCCAATCATTTTCTGTCTTTCTCTCGCTCACCTTGTTTTTTCTTCCCTTTCTTTCTCTTTATCTCTTTATTTCCTCTCCTTCTTCCTGGCTTCATCTCTCTTCCCTTCTCCCATTGCTGCCTTCCTTTTTATTTCACTCTCTCTCTCTCTGTCTCTGTCTCTGTCTCTCTCTCTCTCTCTCTCTCTCTCTCTCTTTCTTTCTCGCACACCCTCTCTTTCTCTCTCCCCTTCTCTCTTTTGCTCTCTTCCTCTCCTCTCCTTCTCCTTCACTGTTCTCTCTCTCCTTTCTCTAGTGCTGCCTCTCTCTCTCCTTCCCTGTTCTCTCTCTCTCTCTCTCTCTCTCTCTCTCTCTCTCTCTCTCTCCTCGCTCTCCTGGTGTTTTTCTCTCTGCGTAGCAGCAATATGAGTTTCAGATGGCAGAAACTGTCACTAGAGAGGCAGTCATGAGAAAAGCAGCTATAAAATTGTTCGGTTCTCTTCGAAATGCCATGTCCCCACAAGTCCTCCCTAATTTCCTTCAGAAGTGGGAAAGCCTTCATTGAGTGTGATGTGTACCACTTATCAAAGGCCGGAGACACACACTCACAACTCCAACTACAAAGAGAATCCTCCTTTCATAAAGAATGCAGTCATCTCCTATATAGGATCCTGCATTTGAAATAAATGGGAAAGCCTCGCCTGGAAAACAAAGAGCCAGCTACCGGAGGCAAGGAAGACATGCACTCATGAATTCGGGGGAAGTATCAACTACGGAAGGAAACTTTTAAATGATGTTTTGCACAGAAAGTGTTTTGATTTGTCAACAGAAAAGTTTCCAGCATCTTCTAGCCCCCTCGGTGTGCTTAAACAATGTCCAACGTCAGCATGTATGTTGAGGATGCCACTCAGACTCGTTCCTGAAGCTGATATACGGGACCTCTCAGGGAAACAGATACAGTGGAGCGATTTTCTTCTTTACGGCACCACTATTTAGACATGGACTTGCAGCTGGTGGAAAGCTGGAATTTCCCCAGGAACTCCTTACTTCTCATTCATCTTCTTCATGCTGTGCTCAAGGTTTAGTTCTGACCATCAGACAACTTGTTATGCTACTCTACCATTTTGCCCACTTATGGAGGCCACATTACTTTCAGCACCATCAACCAGGGCATGCTTTTAGTGGTGGGCAACCCTTAACCACGTTCTTTCATATATCCCCAAAATGAAACTTCCCTTAAACTACTTCTCTTTAAGAAATAGCAAGAAGATTGCTTCACTGGTTTTCCATTGGAGCTCTGAGGCTAATGTAAGCTTTTACCTCATTTAACTACTTGCCTAAATCATCACCCACTTACCTTAAACCAAATTGTTCATTAATCTCGAATAGACTTTATTATGTGGTTTATGACTTTGTATGAAATAGTACATTAGCATGAGGCAGTAGTGGCTTATAGTCTTTTTTGTCAGTAATTTTGTTCATTTTTATAGACAGTAGTAAGTCATACTATTTCTTTAACCACATTTGCCGGAAAGACTTGATTCTATGCTACGCACCAAGCTGAATCAAATGAGCTTTCTGGCATTTGGGCTATCTACAACTGAAAGCCAAACAGTTCACCAAAAGCAGCTGACACTAGCATGATTCCCATCCAAAACGTTTAGCCTCACATTCTTATCCAGTGTGACACACAGCTGGAGCCGCAGCGTGAGATGAGTGTGTGGGATGAGGATGGTGTCTGTGGAGTGTTGAAAGGTTGATGAGAGGGGTTTCGGCTAAGCTTGTCCCGCTCCTGCCATAATGGATGCAGATTACAGGCTGTGAAGGGGCGTGCGGCCTCATTACCAGACCCAACACAATTGATGCCTATTTATCTTGCTCTTAATTAGAAGGCAGTCTTCATACATTTTGCATTCTCACTTCAAAGTGATAAATCCAGGCAATTATAATAAGGGCTATTTAAAAATATTTAAGTAACATTGCTGTACTCTCGTGTTTAATAGTTTCCTTTTTAAGCTAGTGTTTCAGGCCAGTTAAGATATGTTTTATTTTAACCCTAGTTCCCCCATGACTTACATGCTTTGTATATTTTGTCTGAATTATTTTTCACTCATGGCTCATTGAAACAAGCAAAAAGTCATGCCAAATGTGTGGACTCTAACCTGCCAATTGATATCACACTTGTTTTTATCCTTTTGTCAATCTCTGACATCAAAACAGTCAATAAACAACTGTACAGCATATTTAGACCCATTAATATAAAAGCACATGTAATTATTATGTAATTACTATGTAATAAGTATGTAGTTACACAAAAACTATATGAAAGAACCTATGAATTGAGGCTCCTGAATGGCCCTATCATTGGAACACTGCAGATCCAATTTCCTGGACATAGCCCTCCATGGCAGGGAGTCCAAAAAGACTAATTGGCCTCTCTAGATTGGTAGGATAGCCCTTCTTGTATCCATATTTAGTGTTTTGGCAGTTAGCATTCTCCTCCAAGCATGCTAAACTGTCCACAGTCTAAAAGATGCAGTGGTGCTTGCTCTTGGAAGAACAATGTACTAGTCTTCACCCTAGTAGCATCATGTGATAGATAGAGCTATCTAGTGGTTGGGAAATGGTCATGACTAAATCATGACCACAAAAAAAAACAACACTTATGAACTGAATGTATGCCAAAATGACAAAACCTCCAGACATCTAAGGGTTAAATTAGCAGACCTGTGGTATATAGACACAATTTGGACTCCACTACAATAACCATAACCACTAACCCCATGGCTCAATGCTATTTTCCTGACAGCATAGTACTGATTCTGACCAAATCCCAGCGACCTTTCCTGATCGAGGTTAGCGTAACAGAAGAGCCGAGGTTTGATTACCCAGGTTAAAGACACATGGAGCAGTGGGTCAGACTGGATGAGAGGAGAGGGAGGAGGGTGAGCTGACAGGGCCTCAGCCCGGGCGCAGGATGTTAATAACAGCGAAATGGTGTTTAATTAGAATAGCAGCGTCTCTGCATTAACACCCTCCACTCTGGCCTGTCTGCGAGCCGGCCTTCACTGACACTGCTGTCAGCTCTGGTCATTACCGCTCCAGCTTTTAATGAATTTTCTCCCTGTAGCCATCGTGCCTTACATCTAATTAGCTGACAATAATGTATCGAAGGCGCTCGAGAGTTAAATATAAATATGCATGAATGTGCAGTGAGGATGACACCTTTCAGTGTCAAAAGGAAGTGTGTGCAGGAGTTGCTCTCACATTTGGCTGGTTCAGATCTAAGGCTCTGTAAGAGAACCTCTCAACTCTGCTGGCACACACACACACACACACACACACACACACACACACACACTCACACTCCCTAATTATCAAGAAATATCTGCAGCTCCTGCTCCACGTTAACAATGGAGAAAGTGAACAGCAGTGCAGAAACGGCTCCCCGAATCAAAGCAGGAAAATTTTGCACCTGACAAGAGCAACGCCTTCCTAAATAAATAATGAGGGGAAACACAGTCATTTTTGCAATGGAGCTTCATGGCAATACAATAAAAAATGCTTTGCCATCCGTACACAGAGTGGGTGTGCACTCAGCGCATGGTGTAGATGACAGCCTTCATAAGTCATGAAACTAGATACACCACGAGGAACTGCAAACAAGATTACAACATGCAGACTGGAGTTTTGCTGAAGATATATACACTAATGAATAGCTGTTTTCCCCACATAGAACCAAACCAGAGACTGATAATGAACACTAAAACATAATTAAAGAAGTCCGGGGCAAAAACAAATGGTGTGCTTTTCTGCGTCAGGCAGACAGGTATGTGACAGGTGCACTATTTCTGACATCAGTTAAAGCTGTGCCATGGTAATAGCACAGTCTTAGAGCAATATCGGCTAGGCATTGGAAAAAGTGTGAGTTTCTTTGGCCCCACTTATATACTAAGTGCCTCTAATAACTAATTACATTAACAAAATATGTAACAACAATGTAACCATTTATGTGTTCACTGTTACTAATGGAATACAGTAATACAGCTTATGAAATTCAACTGTTTTTACTCATGTACTTACACAGCTGTATCTTGATTGTTGTAACTGTGTAATAGAGTAATTATAATCGGATGAACTGCTATTTTTCAAAACTTTAACAAAGGTTTTCTGATTGTAATAGGAAGCGTATAATTACCTACAATGTACTTACATGTGATGCTTTCTCTTACAATCAGAGAAGTCTTTTCTGGAAAAACAGCAGTTCAATGTATTATACACGAGCATGGACATAAGAGGACTATCAAATTCTAGTTGTGTAAGTACATGAGTAATAACTGAAGCTAATACAGTGTATTTACTTTCACTGTACTAACTACACAGTTATTAAAGACAATATAAAATGAGTCTATTTTCTCTTTTGTGGCTAATTCTAGATATTCGCTAAGGTAACTAACTACGTAATCACGTAAATGTATATCACTGCTGTCATGAGAAAACCTCATATCTCTGAAATGGTCATTTTACAGGGAATGAAAACACTTGAACTTTGAATAGAAGTTAATGGAACAAACGTTTTTCCAAGTAAATTTGGACTATTTCTATTGCTCCATTCATAATGAAATTGTAACATATTGTAAAGAGCAACAGGCATTATTTGAATTAAAAAATAGAGATTCCAGGTTTTGTTCTTGTCATTAAATTAAATTTAGCAAAATGACAATAAGGGTTAAAATTCTAACAAGTTTGCTACTTTAACTCTTTAAGTATTATTATAAGTTATAGTTTTGGCCTAATTAGATTTATATAACACAGTTACTAATATGTAGTAACATAATTACATAAATAGTCATATAAGCAAACATCCTTATGAAAATAAGTTCAGGGCTATCAGGGTTGTTACGTTAACACCACTAATTTTTTTTTAACACTGTTAAAACATTTTTAAAGTTTGACCCATCAAACCATTCCAGACTGAAGCCCAGCTGCTTGTGTGCTGTATGTTGCTATGATAGAATTCACTGTTACTGCCTTCTTGCTCAAATACAGCTTTTAAATGGCCTTTAAAGCAATAACTCCATAGGCACGCTGTACATTGATCACAGAGAACTATGGAGCCTCCATTGTATCTATACTTTACAAGCTGAATGAACGAGAGCGAGACGCTACAATTACAAAGGAGTTTAAACTACTGACTGTACATATGATATCTGATATATACACTTGGTTGGAATATGTAGCCATGAAACTCCACATTCACATGATTTTCTTGTTCAGGTTCATGTGAATCCTGCTTCCACACAATGAAAATAATGCTATTGAATTATTGAACCTGGTAATACATTCTGATAAGGCTTATTTTGTCCACTCATATATAACAAAATATAACTATATGTTTGTTAACTATAACAAAATGCACTGTTTTTTTACCCACTTAAATGGCCAGGGCCCACCATTAGGCTAAAGTTCTATAACCTAAGAATAGCTCAACCAGTTTGCATTGAAGTCCCTATAGTTACTGAATAATAAGCCCTAGTATCTAATAAACCTTTTAAAGGGGTTAAATGGAAAAATCTCTTATTAGGGTAAAATTCAAGCATTACTTGAATTTAATCACTTAACAATTATTTTACATTGTTGTGCTTTCTGTTAATACAAAATAAAAACCTAAAAGGTTTATTTTCCAAATTTCCGCTGATCCATTAAACATGAAATGTTCTAACAATATAAAGAGAAACTGTACAAATTACGTACAAAAAAGGAAAAAAATGAAACAAAGACAGTGGATTTACGAGGTTTAAGAGTGCGCTGACCCCATAACCATATTTGAACATTCTGCCATCACAAAAGAGGTCGTCAAGTAATATTATAACATTTATTTTACTATACTGTGAGATATATGATACATCTCTTTTTGGATCACAATCTAATAACAATAACTGATATAATCTCTGACCTGCGATGGTATTGAGGAACATCAGGTACTCGAAGTTGGAGATTTCTCTTCTCTGCCAGCGCTGGGTCATGTTGGAGGATTTGAAAAGCTGCCGTGGCGTGGCCAGAGAGATCCGCCTGCAAAAGTACAGCTTCAGCACTTACATACTGCTGGAACATGAAGCTCCACATTTTCTGTCATTGCCTTTGGCTTCTTTATACTTGGCTCATTTCATGAGGGACCAAAAAAAGGGTAGTTTCAAGAAATGTGGACCAAATGTGAAGCATTTTGGCCAAAAGAATGTCAGGAGAACACAAAGAGCCACAGTCACACGCTGGCTTACACATGCAAGGGTGCTACACACTTTACTGTAGGGAGTAATGAAAACACCAACAGGACAGAAAGAGCTGCTTTTCAGATGAGCAAAGTGTTAATGATCTCTTTTTGAAGAAGGTTCAAGACACATGCTGAGAGCATGAGTGAGAGATGCTGGAGAGCTTTTAGACTTAAGCTAGGATCAAATCAGGGCTTTGTTCATTGTTAAAAGGCCAGTTCATTAAAAAACTGCCACTCAAAGGTTTGGAATCATCGTTTTCAAAAATATTTTACAAATTTTGTTAAAAATACATGTATAAAATGATTCTATCAGGCTAATACTCTATAGATTTTTAGCTTATTCAAAGGAATCTGTAAAATTGAAGAAATGTTCAATGATGACTGCAGATATAGACGATTTCATAATAACTAAAAAAAGCTTTATAGCATCAAAAATGAACTTAGAATAAAAATTAACATCCAGAATGCCTCATATTCAAAAAAGTGTAAATGTAAAGTCACATGTAAGTTGTGTTTTATAGTTACTCTGATGAAACATATCATTAATAAATGCTTACTAATCAGAACTGTGCTCTGAATGAGCTCATGTGGAAGGGCATCCAACAATAAAGGAAGCCCTATGCATCTTTTATACAGTGATAGAAAACATGTCACACTGAAAGCTTCAGTCACACACGGTGATATATTTCAATGGGGCCATCTTGCACATGCTGTGACCTCTCTGGCATCAGATTTAAATGAGTTTAAGGGCCCATCACCAAATTCTCAGAATGGATCGCTGGTGTGAAGTTTGGTTCCATAGGGTGAATATGAGAAGCGATTGCAAACTTTTAAATGGTAGTGTACATCTTGCCTGCCATGTGACCTCAAGAAATACAATAAGCTGTGAGACCTCAGCACTGCGTAAATATAAACTTACCAGTAGTGTCATACAATAAGAAAGCAGAAATACAGAACCATACTTAAGTCGATTTACAGTTTTACTACATTTTCATCATGGATACGTTGACTTTGACACATTCCCCTAGACCCTTTTTGCTACTTTTACTATGGTGTGTACAATGCTTTATGCCTGTCCATTGATTTGCCCCGTGAGATAAATAGAGGTTTAAAGTAAGTTAAGTAAATGAACAACTGAAAACAACAAGTTCACAAACATGGCCAGCTAGCGTACTCCTGGAGTTCTGCTTGGTAATACAATAAAGGATTTTGTCATGTGACTGTGTCTATGATGTATCTGTGCTGTCCTACTTGACAGTATTCCCCTCTGAGTGATCTATAGCCAGCCTAGAGCTCAGAGAGATGAGCCAGTCCATGGCAATCGGGGTCAAATGCAACTGTGATACAATGAGTAGAAAGTAGAGTCTATGCTGTTGCTGTTCTGTTTGTTACAGCACTATATTACTGCATGAACTGAATGTTTTGTTCTCAGACATGCTGTATGTCCACTTGGGCTCTCTTACCTAGCCTGGGGGAGACCATAGCTTGTGCCTACACCCACACGAGGCAAGCTGTAGACCACTTTCTTCACTGTGGGCTGATCGGGGAAGTTGAACATCACTGAGGCTGGAAAATGACATTAGAATATCAGAACAGAATTCAATTAACTGTATCTCAGAAAATAATAACATCTTGTGAATTCTGTGTATTGTGTGTCTTGGTGTCCGCTATTTGTGTCTTAGCTCAGGGCTACAGCCTATTTGCAGCAGCTTAAAGATTCATTTAACAAGTAGACAACAAAGCTCTTCTGTAAGTCGCTCAAGACAAGAGCATCTACTGAATCTGCTAAAACATACATCTCATCAGCTGGAATATATGTAAAGATGAGCCAGCAATCTGCTATATAGTAACAGTACAGTTTTAGACCAGGACTGCATTGTTAGCAGTAGAAAAACGTTGACTTCCCCTGAGTCACCCACTGGAGGTTTCAGATTGAATATCTGGCTGTGGTGAAAGCATTACACAATTTTTCACTTACTTCAAAATGTCCATCAGCCAAAACATGTTTGGAGTCCACATTTTGCTTCTTTAGTTTGGAAGTGAAGTGACTAGGCCAGGGGTCGGCAACCCAAATATTAAGAAGAGTCATTTTGTCCTTTCAACACAAATCAAACCCCCTTGCGAGCCACAACATTTTATGTCAATTTTAACATCTTGGCTGTAAATATGTCTCAGTATGTGCTGATGTACTAGTACAGGCTAAAAATATAATATAGGCGAAAACACAGACTTGCTTTGCTCTGCTATACGCTTTAGTTCAGCTATCATCGCTTTTCTCGCATCTCCAGCAGGAAAGTTTCCTCAAAAGTAGTATAGTTTCTTGTAAAATTTCTCTCAACGTTGGATGTTTTTTCTCATTCACCAGCTTCAATTTCTCATTCCACCTTAAATGTTACCTAAGGCGCCAGAATGTAACTGCCACATCATTTAAGGTGGAACGGGGAAATTCAAACAAGAAGCTGGCGAACGAGAAGCTCACATCTTTTTAGTGTTTGACAGTTTCTTGTTGCAGATTAAATGTATCAGGAAACCAGTTGAGTGCTTATATATGCAAATGAGTCCATTCGTCTCTAAACGATCAATGTTCGTCTTAAATCTTTCTCTTTGCTTTTTCGTTAGCTACTAGCTAGGCGAGACTGTTGTCTGCATTGCTTTGGTGACCAGCAGTCCAATCTTCAGGGTTAAAGGGTGAATAAGCAGATATAGGCTACATTTTTTTACCTAAAAATCTTATTCTGTCGTGGAGCCGCAACAGGGCAGTAAAAGAGTCATATGTTGCCAACCCCAGGCCTAGGCTAACTTTGCTAACAAATACTACAACTTAATAGTCACCATAGTCCAATCTGCCTCTGTAAAAATACATCCCCAAAACCTCTTTTAACCCACTCAAACAGTATCCAGGTCTTCACTAAGGTGGCACAGATTTCTTGATGTGGTTTATGACACAGTATGACTTACTACAAGCTATAAAAAAAAGAACAAACCTGTGGGCAATCACTTAAGATAACTGTAAGAGTCTGTATTCACAAACTACCTCAGGAGTTGGAGTACTGATGTAGAATCAGTATTTGCAACAATGACTGACTTTAAAATCAGTTCTGATTTGTGAACATCAGCCCTGGTGTTGTCTGAAAAAGGCAACCACAGCTCACAGTAAGTCATACTGTGTCCTAAACCCAAGTTTGCATGACTTTGATGAAGTCCTGGATGCGGTTTGGGGGGGTTGAGAGTTTTGGGGATGTATTTTTCTAGAATTGATTTGGGCTGGGTGACTATATATCAGCTCTAAACTAAAGAAGCAAAATTTGGACTCACATATCTTGGCTGATCAATTCCATCTGGGGTTTTCCTTTAATCAAATCACACTACACCATTTATTCAAGCTTTGCCCCATGAAACAATGAGCCACTGACCAAGTTGACCCTTTTTATATACAATATATAGAACTTTACTTCTGTTGGCCATGAAAACCTCCAGCGCTGTGTTCTGGAGCAGGTAGCGTCGGGCAAATACTGCTCGGATCTCACTGAACATCCACTTCCCATGAAGCCCTTCAGTGTAGGCCAGCACCTGAAGAGATAGAGGAAGAAAGCCAAAGATTAACCGTGGGAAGTCTAGAATTATTATTGCCTTGTATTACATAGCTGTTTATATGTAATTACATACATACTACATAGTTAGTTACATGCATTGTATCGTTTTACATAATCTGATGTCAAATCATGAAAAAAGGCAATTATGTAAAGACACTAGTTTCCATGAAACAAGACTAGGCAAAGCAACAACTTTTCATCAAATTCAAAGCACAACAAAATAATTGCTTATTGATTAATTAGCCTGTTTCAATGGGCAACAACAGGAAAAACAGCTAAACAAAATGTAAGAAAAGGAGCTTCATTTAACCTCTTAACAAGCCATGGGCCCACCAGTGGGGCCAGATTTATTACACACCTCTATGACCTAAGACTAGCTCCAATAGTTTGCATTGACGTCCCCATAGTTACTGAATAATAAGCCTTTGTATGAAATAAATATGGAATGTTAAGGGGTTAAAACAGGTGTCATTACATTTCAGCACACTTTGTGTAACGGAAAGTGATCATAAGTGCTTTGTGACGTCTTGTTATTTACATATTTGCAGCTAAATTCCAATCCAGACAGTAATGCCAGTGCCAGTGCATCACTTTGAGTGGCCTGATGTGGGTGTGATCCACTGACAAAAATATGCTACCCTTGTCAGAAATGTTGGCCGGCATCCATTAGAAACACATTCGCATGACAGTGATGCTTGCTAGCTTTGATTGTCAAAGCTGAGACGCTTCTAAAAAGCGATACCCACTAGCCTGCATGTTTCTGACACTCCTCTCTCCACTGACTTGCTTCTTCCACTGGGCCACTGCAACATGACCCCCGCAGGGATCAGGAGACTGTAAATAATCAATACCAACACAGGGCCTGGCTGAAAGAGGGATCATTAGTGCAGCTCTATGGAGGGACCCCAGGGGCCTCAGAGGGCTGGATCAAGACTCTCTCACTGACAGGTGAAAATAAGGCCCCTTCAGCTGCCTCAAAACGACAAAGAGGGATGTGCATACTATTCTCTCTCTGATGTACACACATGTATATAGATATGCACGCACACACAGCCTGAGCACACAAACAGCTTCCAGATTGGGAAGCATGCAGATGAAAGGCCTTTCTGCCTTCATGCAGGGATGAAGTGAGACTTGACATTCTCGACTGCAAGAGAAAGTGAGCTTTGGGTGGAAGGGCAACACGTACAGTGAGAGAGAGAGAGAGAGGAGAGAGAGAGAAAGAGAGAGAGAGAGAGAGGCCACAGCAGGGTTAGCCCCCATTCTACTGCTCATTTAACCCGGAAACATATTACACGAGTTGACCTGTCTATACTTTGTGTTCTTTCGTAGCAACCGTTGCAAGGTTGTTCAAGCTTTATTAAACGTTCGGAAGAAATCACATTCATCTCAATGAGAAACAGTCGCACAGAAATGAAAATGATATTTATTTTGTATATGTGTGGACCTGTCATTGCTGTTATTTCCAAGCTGGCTAGTGTTTAGTTTCAACAGCACAGTGCAGCTCAGTAGGGTAAGATTTAAACTCAACATAAATACATACATTCATACACAGTCATATGCAAAAGCTGAACATGCCTGAACAAATGGCGTTTTGTTAATTCTCAAGTGAAAATACAGAAAGAAATCCTCCACAGTTAACAAAATTAATTACGCCCTTTTATAATAATTAACATGACCCCTTTTTGCGCATTTTAAAGCACAATTTCTAGTTAATTGCTGAATTTAATATATTGGAAAAAGTAACATATTAAATGTGCCATAATATTTCCCCAGGCCAAATTTAATGTTTTATTTTTCCTACAATATGTTCACATTTTATTCATTAAGATTTTAATTCAAGGCAGCTGTTTGAAATTCAAATAACTAGTCATTGGAAACAGTTCAAAACAGCATTAACAATTTATTCTTCTCATTTGAATAACTAGCTAAGTACTGAGTAATGAAGTTACTTTTTCCAGGAAGTAATGAGTAAAGTCATAGGCGTGTGTAGCCCCTTTTTTAAATTGACTCCCAGTACCCCTAAAAATAAGAGTAAAAAGTCATTTTGTTTTGTTCAAAATAAAAAAAACAAAAAACAAAAAAAACAGAACAGAACTTTGTCTCTGATAAGCAAATGTTATGATCCACTTTCTCTCTCCTACCATTCCCCCCACCTCGCTCTCCCTGGAGCCGTGCAGTAGCAGTAGCGCACTAGAGCCAGTTACAGTGTGACTGTGTGGTGTGGTGGCTCCAGTAAGTAGCGCAGAGTATTTCCTATCACACAGCACCAACACATTACAGTCATTAGCAGCAGTCCTCATTTTTGCTGCACTGAATCACAGATCACTCTTTATGTTGTTATTGTTAGCTATCTGATGTTTATATTTATATAGCAAGCTAATGTTGCAGGTTGAATCTGAGTGAGAGAAGAGAGCTGTTGTGCCACTGTTAGGTCTGTATTATTAAAGCCAAGGTGCTAGACTAGTACTGTGTGTATGCGTATCAGCTAATTAATGTTATAGAATTATAGCAGAATATGATGAGGAAAAAAAGGGGGGGGGGTGGTGCTGGTCACATTGGGGGCACCACTAAAGCTCCTAAGTAAAGTAATCTCATTACAATTTCAGAGAAGCAATTAGTCACCTGTAATGCTGTAATGGTCTACTTTTTCAGTAACCAACCCAACACTGTTTGTCTGTTTTGTTTGAAAAAATACAAACACTTCTCAGGTAAACTGGACCTGAGTTTCACTCCATCACATGCATTTGTTAAATAATGTCAATTTGTTAAGTAATGTCAACATCATTTTTTTTAATAAAGACTGCTACAGTTTCACATTTGGTTAAATGAGATTTTTGACTTGAGTAAGCAAGGCACATATAACAAAGGAGCTAGTATAAGACAGCATGGGTCATATGGTAGATCATCAAATGTGATTTTATTCAGACTAGAATATAGACATAATCTGGGCAAGGACTCGCATCTTAATGGATCCCATCAATAGCCTTGGAATCTAAGAGTGTCTCCATGTGTAGCACATGTTCATGTCTGTTTAGTTTGGCTCAGCAACCAGTATCGAGTTGGGTATTGTGTGCCTCCTCATTGTGTAGCACAGGGGTGTCAAATTCTAGTCCTGGCAGACCAGTTTAGCACTCTACCTCATTACGCACACCTGATTCAACTCATCAACTAATGAGCAACGCCTTTGTAAGTTTACTGAGCTGAGTGTTAGAAGACATTCATCTCTGCAGATCATTCAGGCTTTGAGTTTGTGGTTCAGTGTGTGATCTCCAATTTTCCATTTGCCAGAAACTGAGAAATCCCACCTTTACATGATCTGTTTAGGATTTTAAGAGTTGTTGTGTGCATCCAAAGCTTTAGAGGATTGGACAGCGTGGGCCAGCGGGTCTGGACCTGCTTCATTTCTCTCTGGAACGGCACTCAGTGCCAACGCAGACACAAGAGAGTCTCCAGGGCTCAATTAAAACTGGATTATGCCTCAGTATCCTCCAGCATCTTCCTGCTCTGTTCTTCTAACTGTCTCCGCCAAATATGAACGACCACTTTCACCACAAGCAATTCCCCAGACACAAACAAAAACATACACAACGCCTCGGCATCACCCCTTGCCTGTCAAGTTTATGGACCCTGCTCATACAGACAGACTTCACCACAGTACTAATTTGTATTCCAGTCTTTGTGAGATGGTTCCATGTGCTTCTAAATGAGTGTATGGTACTGTGCAAAAGTCAGAGACTGGCTATCATTTCTTTAACAGTCAGACATAAAGTTATGCATCTTTCAGGAGATATTTATAAGGAGATTGCATGTAAAATAACTCATTTGCATAAGGAAGTGGAAAATTAAAAGAAAATAAGAGAAAAAAACAGAGGTTTCTAAACTGGATTTAAGCAAAAGATATATGCAATCCTAACAACTGTGCAAAACCTGGTAGACCACCAACACTGTCCCATCAGATAAACAGAACTTAAACCTTTCATCTTTGAGAGAGAGGAGAAAACCAAGCTCTACTCTTACTTCAGATCTGAAAAATCCACAGGAGTTTCTGTCCATCCTTCCACTGTGAGAAGACAACTCAACACTATGAGTCTGAAAGGATGTGTAGGTGTCAAGAAGTCATTATAGAACATGGGAAAGAAAAAAATAATCTAAGATTGAACTTTAAATGTGTGTAAAAAAAAATCCATGAAGACTCCTGAAAAGAACAGACGCTGTAATAAAGGCTGAGGACGGACAATAAGTACTAAAAAAAAGATATAGTTGTATTTTTTAAGCTTGTGTGTTTTTTCTAATGCTGAAAAACCTCTCTTACTTTTTTAAATAAAAGTATTTTTATTGAAAAAGCATTTTTCCTCATGGGAAGCAGCAAAATGTCCCCACAATGTCATAATGATCAAGTTTTCCATCCTGGTGACAACAGGTCCCCACAAAGAGCTAAATATAAATATGTTTCCTCACACAGATGCAAATAGGACAGGGAGCTTGTACTGATGTATGGGGAGAAAAACCACAGGAGAAACTACTGTATGATGTGTTTTATTGATTTTGCTGTAACTAAGCTAAATCAGTCAAAGCTGTAATGTTGAATATTTCAGTCGCTGGAAAAGTGACTGATTAGAAAAGTAATTGGCATGTGCATGTTTTCATTTGTCTCTGACAATCACTGTGCATCAATAACTAATGATATTGTTATAATAATCAACAATAAGATTATAGTTGATTATATATTCAATTATATAACTAATTTTTCATTTGTTTTGATGTCAAGAAAGAACAAAACATGGCAAAAAAGGTAAACGTATTTTTTTCTTTTCCAAATTATTTCCTCTTTTACTTATGAACACAAATATATCAACTGAAAGTGTGGAATTTGCACTCTTAACATAATTTCTCCATTTGTTTTAAAGAGCTGCAAGTAAGAAATAATTAACATAAATAATTAAAATGTAAAACGCTTTTTTATCTCTGGCGATA